GACGATGAAGCAGGAGAGAAGAATTCCAGGAGGATATTCGGGTAAGCACACTCCAACTACGTAGATTTTGGTCGTGATGGAAGCTAACAAGTCGCGCAGGAGGAGCAAGCGAAGAGACGAAGGCTCGAAGAAGAACTCCAGAAGCTACGCAAGGCGATCGGCCCTGGCAAGAGCCCTCTCAGCCCGAGATAGCGTCTCAGTACCTAAAGCTCTCGCCGCGTTGCTCATCCGTCCAAGTCGATGCGCATGTGCTGTACTACGACCAAACCTGTATACGAGATTTTCTTTGGATATATACTAGTTCTCTTGGGGTCCTCCGCTTTTTTCTTCTTCTGGCTGGTTGGGAATCTTGCATAGCGGGAGGGGGTTCGGAAAGGTTGAGCCACTGGTGAGTGTTCTCTTCTGGTGCCTGCTCTGGATTTTGTATCATGAGTGAAGATGTAGATCAGATGGGTTGGGGATGATGGGTCATGAATAAGGTTGAACGTGCTCGTCGTTTACAAATGTGATGACTATGGTCTCTTGTTTCAAGTCCGGGAGGCCTCATCCGTGGAAATCCAATGAATGGCCAGGGAAGAGGGAAGAGCATATGACTGAACGTCGGCTATTAAGCATCTGTTCCATTGGGCGAGCGTTCTCGTGCATGGCTCAGCCTGACCTGGCGTGGATAAAAAGCGAACGAGCCACATCACTCCTCGTTCTGCATTTTGTTTCCACATCCTACAAGGTCGCCTCGACAGAAAGCGTTATCGACCGATGATGTTTCGAGTACTCTACGACCTGGTGTACGAATCTCAACGCTACACCTTCCAAACACAGCTCCGATCCCACACTTGCTCTAGTTCGTAGGTACTTGACCAGCCCTACACATTGCTCAGCCAGGCTCTGACTATTGCGCATAATATGGCAGAACCAATCGGGCTCGGTGCCAGTGTGCTCGCCTTCGTTACCTTGACTCTCAAGTCCGCCAAGACGATTCACGACGTTCTCTCTGCGGTCAAAGAAGCTCCGGATAGCGTACGCCGCCTCACGAGCGAGGTGATCTTTATGCAGTCTATCCTCAGGCGGTTGTCAAACTTCACAAACCTGCAAATCCAAACCATCCCAGTGTCTGATGCTGAAGCCCTCGAGAATGTCTTGAAAGTATGCTTTGATGATATATCGCACATCTCTGAACGCCTTCAAGATTTCGTCGTATTTCCCAAGACAAATAATTGTCAGCGTGCTTTGAAATGGGTCCGCGCTGCTTATAACGAGACGGATATGGTTCGCTTGACAAATATGCTGAGGGGGCACGCATACAAGCTCCAACTATACCTGACCATTATGCAAAACGAAACAGCGGCTGCCGAGTCAGCTAGTCGAATGGCAGAAGCGGCAGTTCAGGCCATGCGAGGTGATCAGCACACTGCCTCTTTGACCCAGATCATAGGGTTGCTCACGGACATGCACCCCCTGACAACGTGTGCTGACCAGAGCGAAATCGTCGAAAGACTCGCGAGGCTTGCAATGGAGGATACGAGAACAGTCGAAGTCGATGACTACGAAAGCATCGTCGCCGACGTGCAAGTTTCTGAAGGCCAGCTTGGACGAGAAGATGCCGCTGCAAGAGGATGAAGAGAACACTTCGTGGCGAAAGGCGCTTGCTCCTGGCGAGTTTTCCCGGGATGTTAGGCGCTTTCAGAAGATATTCGCTTCGGCTTCGCGTCTCAGTATCAACAGTGTGTTTCACGATACTACATTCATAGAGCTCATAAAATCGACACACGGCAAATGCTCGCTTTCTAGTCAGGAGCAGCACTGCCGCCCGACTAAATAAGTCAAATATAGGGGGTATATTTAACTATTTAAACCGCCGATGCTAGTAGATTTAACTATTTAGTCGTATTTATAAGTATTTAATTCGATTTAACGTCGAAATAAAGCTCTCGCGATAGTCTAGCCCTACGTATTAGCTAGGTTCCGTAGTATTAAGCCCCTTAGCTACTCTATAGGCCGAAATACTACTCGCCTAATATAATAGCACCCCGACGAAGCTGATTATTAATATACTATAGCTTCTCGAGGGTCTCTAAGGCTATCCTTATCCTCTATAAAATTAAAGTTAGCTTCGAGAAGCTAAATACCCTCTTATAGTCTACCGATATTACTAATACTACGAAGATATTAAGGGCGAACTTATTAACTATAGGGTAGGTCTCCCGTTAATTAATCTACTATATAATAAGATCCTTAATATCTAGAGCCTCCGAGAGATTAAAGCGAAGATAGACGTTAAATTCTAAATCGGCTATTAATATTCTTTAACGCTTACTATATATTTAATTATTAAAGCTTATAATTAATATCGTAGCTTATAAAGAATATAAGATTTCGAAGTCTCCTAGCTCTTAACTAGGAGACGGGGTATTAGATAGAGGGGACTAACGATATTAACGATCCTATTACTAATATACGCCTTCTCGTATTTTATAAACCTACGCTAACTACTTAGGGTTTACCTATTATACCTTAAGCTATTAAATTCTAAGTTTAGGGTATAGAATTACGGTAACTATATATAGTAAGGATTCGCTAAGCTTTATATAATACTTATTAAGCTTCTATTAAGTATTAATAATTAAGAGGCGGAAATATTAGCGTAAATCTTCTAATAGAGCCTCGAAGTATTAAAGAACTTCTATATATTTAGGACGGATATAATCGAGGAGGGTTTAGCTAAATAGAGGAGATTTAAAGCGTTAATTCCGAAATCGACGATTACGCTTTAGTAGGACCTATTATAAATAGCTTATCTACTATTAACTATTCTAGTTTAAGTTATTAAAGAAAGCCTTCTAATCCTCTATCCTCTTAAGAATAAATTCTATTCTAATAAGAATCTCCTATAAAGCTCTATAGCTCTTTTATTTAGCTTATCCTTATATTCGTATCGTCTATCGATAGAGGGGTTTAAGTATAATTTAAATCTCTATTAAGAGATACTAGTCTTCTAGTAAAAGATAGTTAACTAGAGGAATTTACTTATAGGGATCGGCCTTAAGTTAATTCTTAGCGAGGAAGTATTAAATATCGCTTTTCTTCTAAAGAGTACGTTTAATTATAAGATACGTTAAATTCTACTATATCTTATTATTAAGGATAAGCTAGAGTTCCTTAGAAAACTATTAATAAAGGAGAATCTCTTCTTTACTAAGATCCTCCTCTACTATAAAATACTTAAAGTATTCGCTATATTAAAGCGAGGATTTAACCTATTTAATAATATTATAAAGCTTTCTAATAAGGCCCTTCTTCTATTAATATTATAGGATATTATTAAGATCTTCTACTTCTTTAAAGGATTAAGATTCCTATTTAAATACTTTACTATCCTCTCTATAGAAGAATATATAGCCGATTAAGTTAAAGATATAGCTAAAGTAATATATCCGCTATTTAATAACGTCTTTAGGGCTTAATAAAGGATTAAAGGACTAGAAGAGCTCCTAGCTATAAATATCGTTTATTATAGTATTATTAGATATTAGAATACCTAAGTAGTTAATAAGATCCTAGTCCCGGATAATCTTAAGAAGGATATTCGCTATATTCCTACTTATATAAGTATTCGTCTACTCTCTAAAAGAGAGGAGGTATTATTATTATTTTTTAGCTTAATTAATAAAATAAATAAATATTATAAAGATAGTAAGACGATTTAAAGAGGTCTAATAATTATATATAATATATATATTCGAGGTTAAATATTATAGCTCTACTTATATCTATTTCTTCTTCTATATAAATAATATATAAAGCTTTATTCTTATATTTATTTAGCTTTAAAGAAAGCTCTTAAAGATATTAAGATTTAAGCTTTATATTAATTATTATAAGAAAAGATTATTAAAAATATCGAAAGCTTAATTTATCGTAATAATAAAGCTAAAAGTAAACTCTTTAAAAGTATTTATTTAGTTCTTCGAGATAGTAAAAGGGCGAATATAAAAGGGTTTTATTAAAGGTATATCTAATAAACTTAAAGAGCTATACTCTTTAGAGGATCCTTCGAATATTCTATACTTCTTCCTTAAATAGCTAATTATAGAGGTCGTTACGGAGGCTCTAAATAACGTTAGTTCCTCTCGCCTCTTATCGCAACGATAGTATATCTAGAAGCTCTCTCCTAGCGTATTCGTAGATCCTACGAGCTCTATTATAAAGGTACTATAATCTCTAATCTAGCTTATACGCCCTCTTAAGCCCTTCTTAGATACTAGGGAGTCGAGAGTGAAGCGACGCCTACGCTACGTCGTAATCGGGAGCTCGGAGTCGCTTAGAGGGAGGGAAGTTAATTTAACGAACTAAGCGAGGATTAAGGAGGTCGGACGTACTCTAAATAAAGTAAGGGATATATCGACGATAATAGAAGTATTAGTAATAGTTTAAGGGCTATAGGAGCTCTTTTAATAATAATATAAGTAGGTTAATTAAATAGGAGTCGAGTAACGTTAATAGAAGTATTTACGCTTACGCCTACGCTTATGCGAATTCTAACTTAAAGAATCTCGCTTTCTTAAAGAAGCTAATCCTAAACTCTATAATACTAGGTTAATAGAACTATTTCTTAAAAAGGTACTTATAGCCTAATTAATAAAATCTCTAGATATATATCTAGAGATAACGGGTTCGAATCCCGTTCTAGGCGTTTATATTTCCGATCGTAAACTACTATTTACGACTAGGAACTTAAAGTTTCGTTTTTTAGGGGTACTAGGGTCGGAATATATATATATTCCGACCTTATATAGATATTTAGCTATTTAGTAAATCTAAACTATAATATAGGCTTATATTTAGCTATTTAGTAGGATCTATAGGGGCTATTTATTTTACTATTTAACTATTTGATTTAAGCGTATTTAGTTGGGCGGCAGCGCTAGTCAGGAGTATACACAAACTATCAACCTCAAAGGCGGCGCAATATCTCTCTCCTTCTTGACAACCAAGAGTCGGTCCTCAGACTTTACTTCCGAAACCTCCCCAGTAACAAATAGGTTGAGCTACACAAGCTTCAACGCACGCCTCACTTTCCGACCACATCGTACGCGGTGCGTCATCACAGCAATGGTGTCAATGATTCGCGCACCTAAATTCGACGCGTCCTTGCCTCCACGAATAGTAGTCAGCCCGATTATTCCCAGCAGTTCGCTCGTCTTCAAATTAGTTCGAAAGGGCCGCCTGGGTCAGCTCAAGTCACTGTTGGCCAGTGGCCAGGCCAGCGTCCGGTCCCAGGACGAGGATGGTCGTACTTTACTACATGTGGGTATCATGTCTGCTTTGACTTTCGAGTCTTGATTAAATCCAAGTATTCGATGCGACGTGGAGCGAAGGACCTCGCAGTTTTACGATTCCTCATTGACTGTGAACTCGATATCAACGCTACTCCAACGGGGTACGGATACGGATACGCGTAAGACTGATTACTTAGACTCCCAAAGTCTAGATGTCTAACACTTACAAGTTCTCCCCTCTACTCATTGCTTGCCCAGCTCTCCCGCGAAACGGCTCGAGACGTCGTCTACGCCAATGCCAAGCTTCTGCTAGAAGCAGGCGCGGACCCATTCTTAGTACAAGACTCCTCTATGAGCCCCGTCAGGATGGCAATACGAAGTGGTAGAAGTGACATTCTTAGCAACATGGCGACCAACTGGGGCTATTTTCCCACAGATCAGGCTGAAACTGATGGGCGCGGATTACTGGAGTTCGCTTTCAGTTTCAACTCGTTGCCGATTGGAAACTGGGTTGAACAGCAGTGTTGCCCACACATTGACATTGAGATGCTGGCCCCTATCCTTGACATGGGCGTTTCTGTCCACGATAGCTACCCCTTTCGCCTCGGGGGGAGCTGCTTGCATCTTGCGGTCCAGTATGTAGCCTTCTGGGGAAGCAACGTTGAGCGTGACGCGATCATCTATTTAGTCCGACAGGGTGCGGACGTGCGTGCCAAATCCGACGCCGGCTTCAGTGTGACGGACATTGCAAACGTTTCGACGAGGACCAGGATGGCGGGAAGCTATACTCGGGACCTCTGGGATGTCGTGCTGGTCGCGTGCGGGTATGACCCCCATGCCTTTCCCAGAAACCATCCTTATCGCCCGCGATGGAGAACTGGGTGGAGACTTGATCCGAAAGAATGCTACGGCATGAGCGATCTTCAGAGGTTGTGGAAAGGCATGGAGGATCGTTGCCCGTACTCATTTTGCTCTGGGTGCCCATCGTCGGGAATCGATTACGACCATGAGCTGCAGCACATCTTACAAGAAAAAAAGAGTCCTTGGGTGGGCGAGCGTCAGAAGGCGCTGGCGAAGTCACGGCACAGGAGGGAGTCTAGTGTCAAGCTGTACTTTACAGAAACACCGTCGAGACCTTCCACAGGGTCCGCAGGCAATGAGAATATAGGTAGGGGATCGGAATATGTCTGAATTCTGGCCCTCCGTAGCTAAGAGGCCCCCCCGTAGTCTATATATATATACGTATCTCGTAGCCCTCATCCCCTGACCGGCCCCCTGCTTGACGACTCCAGACTCCACATGGTCGCCTGATAGCTAGTCAGGGGCTAAGGCTTCGAGAGTGCGTATATAAGGACCATGGAGGGCTACAAGCCCTCAGAACTCATATGTTTTCGAATCCCATACGGCGAAGATGAAGAACAGCCGTGACTTTGTCGAAGCCTGGCGATGAGCCCTTACGACCGAACTCGCCTCCCCCCTAAGCAGAGTGACAGGTGCGCATTTAGCCAACTTTCTAGCTTTATATATACGATGCTGCAGGGAGCTGGCATGTACTCTACCGCTTCAAGTTCTGCCCCCTCTGTCAATTTGTCGCCGCCTGGAGGTAGCCGCACACCCAATTACTCCGGGGCCGCACAACACCTCTCCGCAGGTCACTACACGCAACGCTGGTGAGCTAGATGGAGTCAAGATTGGGTTGGGCTTTAGCGCAAGGCCAGACGATCTGGCGTGGGTGGTGGGGTCATGCGACGTGGAATGCCGCCGGACGGGCGTTTTGGGAGAATGCATGGCGTCCACACGGACCAAGGGTCCCGGTCGGGTCCGGCGGTTCACATTGGCAATTGCCCATGGTGGCTGCGACGCTGCACGACCAGAGTGCCCTCTCTCTGTCTTATTACCACCAAGGGTGCGGGTGCGCCCACGGCGGCGGGGGGGGGAAACTTGCTCAAACGGACTCACGCCGGTTCTAGGCCCGCGACAGAGCTGCCTCAGCTTCCCAGCCCTCAAACCCTGGTGTCTTTTTCATGCTTATTCCACATGACTTTGGTCATCTTGTACCATTTGTGCTGAGTGCCATTGGTTAGAGAGGTGGTGAGCAGAATACCACAATGGTCTCGGCAAGTTTCCAACACAATGCTGATGTGTCGTAGTACCTCGAGGTATAAAGTCCCAGGAGGGTTCTCTTCGGCAAGGGGTCAGGATCCCGGTTGTTTGGTTCTCTCATGCACCTTCATTCATTGGGACTTGAGCGTTTTTTTCACGTGGCTATCGAGATCTCATCTGGAACATACTGAATCCTAGAATATGGTCTCACTTCGCTCAGCCCTCGGTCTGGCCGTTTGGCTGACCGCCGCTCATGCCCAGAGTTCTGGCCGGGCCGGACATGGCATGATTGGTCTTGGCATCCCCATGTACGAGCCCGCGTGCGCTCATGCCTGCCGTGGAGGCAGTCCCCGGGCCGCCATCGACTGCGGCAACGGCGAGGAACATGCTGCAGGCCACCACGGAGGTGTAGCTGTGACACCAGGTACGATGCCATGGAAGAGCACCGACCAATGACTTGAAGCATCCCTAGGCCGCAGCTAACATGTGGCCAGAATGCATGGCCACCAGCGAGCCGTGGCTGAAGACAGTGGCATACTGCATCTACCAGCATTGCAAGGACATCGACAACTCGACGCTCGAGCGGTACTGGCAGACTGAGCTGATCAGCAGGCACGATGAGCCTCAAGCAAAGTGGTCGTACCAAGAGTCTTTGCACCACGTCCTCGAAGGCGATGTTCCTACTAAGGTGTTGGAGGAAGACGGCGTTCTCAACAGAACAGTCCTCGTCGATGAAGAGTCTTATATCGCCACGGCGAATGGAAACACCGGTTTTGGCAACACCGAAAGGTGGCACGTCAACTTCAAGTAAGCTTTCTGTGGTTCTCCCCATATACTCAGCCATATTGGGTAGCCGTACGAGCCAAGGTAAAGTTGATAAAGAAGGCCTCGCTGACTCTTAATGTCACTAGCCTTATTGTTCTCCTCACTGGTGCCGGAATCCCCATTCTCTGCTCGCTCCTGAGGTTTGTTCCGTTTCCCGAGTCCGTCGTCAGCAAATTCTACGCCTACATCATCGAGCCCCCTGTCCTCGGCTCTAGTCATAATGTCCCTGTACTCAAGAACTTGGCCATTGTTCCCACAAGAGGGCAGGCCCTGTTCCTTGTGTACATCTCTGTCATCAACATTATCGGGTCCTTCGTCATGCTCGACCAAAAGTCGCCCAACTCGTGGTGGGGAAGCAAGCAGGAAGAGTTCTTGTCTCTGTATTCCAACCGCGTGGGCATGCTATCATTTGCAAACCTTCCGCTGCTCATTCTCTACGCTGGCCGGAACAACATCCTCCTGTGGATCACCAATTGGTCGCACTCAACATTCCTGCTCCTCCATCGCTGGGTTGCCTTTATCTGCATGCTGGAGGCTGTTCTACACTCGGCTGTGTACCTTGATGTTCACGTGCGAATTTACAAGGATCATACTGAGATTGTAAGTTGCCCATAATGAAAACTCGACCATGCTGGAAACTGATAATTCTTGAAGGCTTCGGTGGAGTACTGGTACTGGGGTATCATCGCGACGCTTGCGTTGGTCCTCATTATCCCGTTCTCGGTTCTTCCTCTTCGGTACGTCAACCTTCGAGGGACAGCCCAGCGCGGCCTGACGAGGGACTCATTCTGACGTGAAAAGCCAACGGCTGTATGAATTCTTCCACGCCGCTCATATTGTTCTTGCCATCATAACTATTGTTGGATGCTGGTATCACATCATCGTAAGCTTCCCCACGCTCTCCACAGAACAAGCTTTGATCACCAGCTAACACGGATTTAGTGGCGATACGAGCGACAGTGGGGATATGTAAGTCTACTAATATTCAGAACCACGTAAATGTTGATGCTGACGTTATCTCAGGAAGCTTGGGTGCTCATGGCTATCGGCATCTGGGTCTTTGACTGGTTCGTGCGTGTTGTCCGCATCGTGCAGAACGGCGTCAAGACGGCATATGTGACCAAGATTGACGATGACTATCTTCGAGTCGATATTCCAGGCCTCGATTCGCACGGCCATGTTTATCTGTACTTCCCCACACTCAATTGGCGCTTGTGGGAAAGCCACCCGTTCTCCGTCATTGGCAACAGCAACCTCGGCTCCGGATCTGCCGTAACCAACACTGGTGAAATCTCTCCTCAGGATTCTGAAAAGGTCTCGCCAAATGTTCACGACGGACCCGTGGATGCTTCGTCTTCATCAGCCTCGTCTCGGGCCTCGGTGCGCCACGGCCCCGCCGGAACGACACTCTACATCCGGCTGCAGACGGGCACAACCTCGTCCCTCGCTCAAAAGGCCGGCTCCGCCATCGGTGTTCCTGTGTTGGTTGAGTCGAGCTATGGCAGCGAGTCGCTCTACCCCGGTGACGGCCACGCCCAACCATCTACCGCGTATCCCAACCTCATTACCATCGCCGGTGGCGTCGGCATCACTGCCGTTCTTCCCGTCTTGAGCAATGCCCAGTCCCTGAATGCCCCGCTCGGTACCAAGAAACTCTTCTGGGGCGTCCGCGCCAGCTCAACCGGGCTTGTCACCTCGGTCCAGAGCATCATCGCCTCGTCGAGTGTGTCCGCCGAAGAAAAGTTGACGCCTGTCCCTGGTCGCAATCTGACGAGGTGGGGCGACGTTGACGTCGAGGTTACTGTGGGAGAGAGGTTCAACTTCCGGGCGTTGCTGGAGGCGGAGCTCAGCGGGCAGGCTGCCAAGGTTGGCACGACGGTCATGGTCTGCGGACCGGCGGGCATGGCTGACGAAGTGAGGAATGTCGTCACTGCGTTGGGTCGGCACGGGGCTGTTGTCCGCTATGTCGAGGAGGCATTTGCTTGGTGATGGTGTGCTTTGGAGGTTGTTTCACGAATCAAGATGCTTCGGAAATCGCTTGTGCTGTATTTGTCAGATGTGCCAAGAACATGTTCACGTCATGCTCGACTCGAGGGATACCTATGTTGTTTACTCGATCCAGAACTATCCCCAGTCATGGCGTGATCTGACTTTGGCACTCTTCGCCGATACGAATCGCTGTTAATTTGAAACAAACCAGTTGTCGTGCGTGAAGGTTCAGCTCTGGAGCAAATCTTGGCCAGACACCTTCACTCACGTTAAATACATGATACTCTTCCATGAACACATCCACTCATTGCCGCTGCCCAGAGTGCCACATCAGGGTTGTTCTGACTTCAGGCAACATCTTTGTACGAGGGTGTATCCTAATAGCGTGGGAACTTTTTGGCAAGGCTTCTGTTTGTAACGCAGGCTTCATCTCCGTGCTGAACATGAAGCTCACATACTCACATGATGGTCTCTATGTTGTTCGAGTCATGATCAGTTTCTTAATTTGCCTTGGAGGGCTCGGCCGTCTTAGAGTTGCCAGACTCCAGACCCGAGGTTCCAGGTCCTCTTGGCTTCGGCCGACTCGGAGTTGCGGATCGGGCACTCAGCCTCATCGGTGGGTGCAATCAGTGATCGGCTCCGGCACCCGTTGATGGAAGGAGCGCTCTCTGCATGGCGAAGCCCAAAGTGATGAAGTATAGCGGAC